CTTGTAGCAATGCCAACAATTGCTTGTGAATTTCAGCTCTTGAAGCCTTCACCTCTGCCACCAGCATGTGAGGAGCCTATCTTGCAGAAATCTTCCAGTATTGAAAAAGATCTTTGTGACCCACATTTCCTGTGAAATGCCAAGTTTAACAACAATTCCCCTCTTTTAATCTCTCTCCATAGGATTTAGTTTCTACCCCTGATCATCATTGCCATTCTCTGAATTAATAGCTCTGGACACACAGCAGGTCTCAAGGTTTGGTTTGAACAAAGCAGAAAAAAATAGAATTAGTTTCCAAGGTTTGGAAATTATATTTCTGTTGATACAGCCTAATATTACACCTTTTTTTTTTTTTTTTGCAATGAATGCCTTATGACTTACAGATGCCAAGACCCCTGGTTCAGACTGATTCATGAACGAGATCATAATGTTGCCAACCAACATTATTGCAGCTCATCATCTTGTACTTCCCCTGGGCTTAAGGGGAAAATGAGCTACAATGCTCTTATCAAAGGTACACAGTTTTTTCCAGGACAAAAGCTTCACTTAACTTTTGTATAGCACATCCCCCCATCGCAAAAAATAGTGGGTGGGAACCAAGTAAAAAATTAAGTTCAATTTCCTTTATATACTTAAACATAATTAGAACATAGTTACCATGATTACTCTCCAGGTATTTAACGATTTTCTTCTGCATTGCAACATTAGAATCAGGAAAAAACTTTTGAAAGTCTTTCAACTGGATGCAAGATTTTTGAACAGGACATTGTATGCAGACCTGGAGCCACAGGGAATGTGCCTTTGCCCCACCGATTGTCACCTGAAATACCAAGTTCATGGGATTTATTGTGTCCCCATCCCCTCCACCCCCCAACCTGGAAATCCTTGTACACCTGGAAATGTCATCAAATGGATAGCTTGGAAATTGCATCAGAGTGACTGAGGACTAAGTTAGGAAAAGCTAGGGACATGTTGTTCAGAAGACAGCAGCAGTGGTTTCTTCCCTGCCTCACTGTACTGTTCTTTAATCTGTCTCTGAGCCAATTACGTATGGAAATGCTGAACGGCAGTAGTCTGATGCTTTGCTGCCCTGCCAAGAAAAATGTAGGAGGAGATAGAGAACATCCCTGGAGCCAGTTTGGGGTAGTGGTTAAGGCACAAGGCTAGAAACTGGGAGACCGTGAGTTCTAGTCCCACCTTAGGCACGAAGGCAGCTGGGTGACCTTGAGCCAGTCAGTCTCTCTCAGCCCTAGGAAACAGGCAATGGCAAACCACTTCTGAAAACCTTGCCAAGAAAACTGCAGGGATTAGTCCAGGTAGTCGCCAGGAGTCAAAAACTGACTTGAAGGCGCACACACAGAGAGAACATCCTGAGAGGTTATGGTAGATGGGCATTCTGTGCCTGGGCAGCCATTTTTTGAGTAGCAAACTCCACCCATGGAAGTTCAAAATTTCACACATACCGCAAACCCTCCAAAGTGACTGTGTGTGGAGAGGAACTCCTTAAATACTGCAACATTTTGCGTATCCTTCCTTTCTTTCATAAGATGACACTCAAATGCACACTTACCAGGCAGAAATTTATAGTTCAGTAAATCTACACAAGATGATGTTATATTTTCTGTCTCTCATATGCTATCACAAATACACACTCTTTCCCTACCCTGAATCAGCAGCCTCCTTTCACATTGCTTGGGAAGTGTTTAAATCCAGGCTCAGGGCAAGATGAATAAAACTACAGTGGTACCTCGGTTCACGAACTTAATTCATTCCGCGACTCTGGTCGCAACCCAAATTGGTCGCGACCCGAATCAAATTTTCCC